TAGCTAACTTAGTTAGCATGTAACGACTTGAGTGACAGCTCTTGTCAATCGGTCTCACGAGCGTAACGTCCGTTCACAAGTTTGAAATGTCTGAAGCGCTTTAGCCGCGAGTCATTCTAACACTGGTTCAAGGTAAATACTGATTCAAAATCTGTAGGCCTCTATTCGTTCTTACCTTCTTTTATGTGTGTTTTCGTCAACATCTTGACCGGCGGCCATGTTCCGTTTGAATCCTCCGCCGTTGTCCCTCAAGCACCGCCCACCTCGTCAACCATTGGTCAGTTGTCAAGCGTTGACGTGATAGGTTGGTCCGAGTCTCATGTCCCACGCTGTGATTGGTCGGTTTGAATTCCACAGGGTAGGAAAACAACAGAAACACAAAGAATTCGAAAGAAGTATGACATTAATATCACTGACACAACGGCATATGTAATTATATATGTTTATGTATAATAATATGTTTATATATATATATGTATTTTTTCATAGAAAGATATAAATGTATTATGTTCACTCTCTTTCTTCATTGGGAAAACATAATAGACTAAATGTATGAAGCAGTAACTAAAAGCGACAACGTTGCAGAACTAAAAAAAAAAAAAGGATTAGAATGCGCCACTTAATGTAATTATTAGAATTGCCCTCAAAATAACTAATTTAAATTATCTTTTGTTGATTGGAATTGTATGTATATGTATATACTGTATGTATGTGAACATACATCCCTCACTAAACTGGACTGGATAAAAAAATATTTAAACCACCATTAAATCTAATTAAATTAACAAAAAGCGGCAACCTTGAAGAGTGTTTTGATTCAACACTTTAGAACAAGTCCTCATGTTGCACGCTCTGTCCAGAGACATTACAGGTGATTAAATCTCCTGAGCGTCTGGCTCCTTCTAAACAAACTTTCAGATAAACACTTACAGTCCAATGCAATCAAACCGTTCCTCTACTTAGTTTACTTCATTTATTTTAGTGGCCAAGTACATTTTGGGTTACATGTTTTCTCATTCAAACACGGAGACCATTTAACTGCTAAAATACATTTTATTTCTGCCCTTTGTCCTTTAATTCCATGAAGAAAGACTGGATGAGATGGTGATCAGTATTTATTAAAGGCAATTTATTGCGTTACATTTGAATAGTGCAAACAAGTAACGTATCAGCATTAATAAAGCATTATGGATATTCAGCTACAAGCCACTGCTTCTGATATTTCAAGGCAAGTTCATCTATAAAAGACATTTCAGCAACAATGAAATTCTTCTCTACTATGCAATTCATAATGAAAACATCAGAAATAAAAACAGCAAGTGAAGAGCTATGAGAATGAAATAAAAACTACAGTTTTAACTCTGAAGGGAAATATGTCCACTTTTTCCCGTCTCCGTCCAGGTGAGTCTCCCTCTGGTTTGACTGCATCTGAAGAAGATCACATGAAGTTATTCCTCAGAAATGGAAGCAGGAAGTTGTTTTGAGTTGCAGCAGACTGACACCTGGCTGACCTTCACACCTGGTCCTCCTGCTCCTCTGGGTCTCCTCTCTGTGCTGCCATGTCTGAGAGGTTCTCATACTCAGGATGAAGGTCCATCTGATGGAGAGACGATGAGAGTCAAAGGCCTCAGAGAAGCAGTTCAGATACAACCGACCCTCGGCTAAGCCCCTCCCCCAACGCACACTGTACATTCCTACGTTAGCAACCGTAACTAGGGACCAGAGGCCTTTAGAGGGTTGATGTCACTTATGGATTAAACACGTGGAAGACTGAATCCATCAACGATCAATAAAAACTCCTTTGTGTGCTCCGAGGTAAGATGCTAATGACGTTAGCTAGCTTAGCATGACAGTCGAATATGAATTATTCTCATTAATGTGTAACAAACATCAATCTGTCACCCAGGAGATCCTTGTTTGTTGCTGGTGTGAAACAACAAGTACATATTTTACTGAAGTATTAATGAAGTACTTTATTAAGTACTTCAGTAACAGTACATTAGTACAGTTAGTTATTTTAACGCTAACTAATATTTATTCCTAAACTCTGGTAGTTTTGTCGCCTGAACTTAACCAAGTATTTCATAATATTTTCCTAAATGTGCTTCTGATGAAGACACAAGCGTATTTAGTAAAAGTCTGTATGACTGAAATGTAAACGTTGCTGGTTTGCATCCCGACATTTCACCGCCATGTTTACGTGCTGTGATGCTGAAGCTGGACAGACCTAGCAACAGTAACCAAGGGGAGGGGCTTAGCTGATGGTCAATACGACTCTTTGTCCTTTAAATCGCTCTTTGGATTCAAAGGACATTTGCAGTAAACGTGGTAAATAAATATTGGTGGTTCAAAAGGAGAAAGATGTTAGTGATGAAGTTACTTCTGAATTATCTTCATGACTTAATAACAACAGACGATGACCCTTTGGTGAGTTCTGTCTCTGAGGACAAATGTCTCACCTCCACAGCCTCTCTGGACTCCTGTGGTTCAGTGGTGGAGCTCACAGCTTTCTTCTTCCTGCATTCAGTCATAAAACAAACAGATACACAAATAGATTGATGGACCTTTTCAAAGTAAAAGCTCAGTGAGGATGAGTTCTAGTGGTTTTACCTCGTCCACAGACAAAAGAGAAGCAGAAGAATCAGCATCACAACCAGCAGAGGCCAGCTGGTGATGTGAATTATCCTTGTTGTTCTATCAACACCTGGAGACACACAGTTATTAGACAAACAGCACGTTACCTCATCAGAAGGACTTGATTCATGGATAAACGTGCAGGAGATGCTGTTTGTTGATCAGACGATTCCTGTCATGGAGAAACTCACCAGACTCAGTAATCAGCAGTAAGGTGGAGTTACTACGTCCCATCTCGTTCTGGGCTTCACAGTAATATTTCCCACTGTGTTCAGCTGTGAAGTCAGTGATGGTGAAGATCTGTCCTGATGCTCGTGGTGAGTCTTCATGCTCCTTGTACCAGGTGTAGTTAGCTGCTGGGTTAGCATCAGCGCTACAGGTCAGAGTCACTGAATCGCCCTCCAGCATCTCAGCAGAGGGACTCACTGACACAGAGGGACGCTGTGGACCATCTGGAGGAGACGTGTCAACATATTGTTACAAGTTAGAGTTCAATAAATAGACGTTGATAACAAAACACTACCTCAGTAGTGATTATGTTGCTTTTAAAAAGGTTGTTTCACTCACATTTCACGTCGATAGAGATGAAGTCAGACGTCTTCCTCCCCAGCTGGTTCTCAGCGGTACAGGAATAATTTCCAGAGTCAGAGGACTGGATGGAGCTGAAGACCAGCTGAGGTTCTTCACTGAGAAGACGAGAGTCTGACGTTCCATCCTCCTTGTACCAGGTGTAGCTAGCTGCTGGGTTAGCATCAGTGCTACAGGTCAGAGTCACTGAATCGCCCTCCAGCATCTCAGCAGAGGGACTCACTGACACAGAGGGACGCTGTGGACCATCTGGAGGAGACGTGAATAAACATACTAAGAGGTTAGAAGATGTTAGCGTAGATAGTTGATCATTTGAATGAATACTTGTGTGTTTTCTCTCAGACTATCTCTAGTATTCATCACAGCAGCTGTCACAGGTGAGACTCCTGCTGGTGTAAAGTGACAATAAGCAGCCTTTAATCCTTTGTAATGTTCATATCTCCACACATTCTTCTCTTTAGATGCTGCTTGTGTCCTTAGCTGAGTCTGTCCTCTCACTTCTAGTTGTTGTAGGAGTTATTGATTGTTTCCTCCACCAGCTGACACGTCACTTCTACTTATGTTCTGGAATAATTCACTTGAGTCTTTATGAAAATCACATTATTCTGTCTGCTGATGGTTTATATTTGTGTTTCTATTAATAAGAGAATGACATAAATAAAGATCTGTGTCTCCTTTAACATTTAGACTCCAGTGTGTTTACAGCTGTGATTAGAATCATATTGTTGTGTCAGTGTGTGAGTGACTCTTCTACACGTAGACTGCAGGGGCCGGGGATTGAACCAGCAACCCTCTGGTCAGTGGACCACGGCTCCACCTCCTGAGGAACGTTGTGCTTCATCTTTTTGATGCCTCTAGTTTACATGCAGCGGTCTGGTGCCTCCATGTGAGATGTTGGTGAAGCTCCACAGGCCGACACAGTGGAGTGAACTTACACACTGCAGGAGAATCGTCACCAGGATATCCTCTGAAATAACAGGAATATCTGTCTGTAGAACCAGAGGAGACTAGAAGAGAAGATCCTCTCTTGATGTTCTCTCCATTCTTGGACCAGGCGTATCCAGGATGATCAGACAGAACACAGCTGCTGTGACACGTCAGCTCCAACCAGGTAGAATTTAATCTTCTCACCTGCACCTGGAGACCTGAATCTGTGAATATTATTTATTAAAGTGTCAACATTCACAGAAGACATTTATACTCTAGTTTTCTAGATGTTGAACATTTGTAGATGATTAATATGTGAATTAAAATGTTACCTTTGACAGAAAAAGTGACTCCAGGTGAACCAGTATATTTCTCTCCTGGTTTGTTTGTCATCAATGTGAATTTGTACTCAGCTGAGTCGCTCTCTCTCACGTCTCTGATGATCAGAGTGCATCTCTTAATATAACAATCATACATCACACGGCCTGAATACTCAGAGTCTGTTCTCAGATCCACAGGTTCACCATCTTTCTCTTTAGTGAACCAGAATCTGTCCTTTATATCAGAGGGATCTATTCCAGGTGGGTGTGTGATGTCACAGATTATATACACTGTTAATCCTTTTGCAGCACAGACGTCAGTCTGACGGTAATTCACTCCCCATCCATCCTGACTCTGTATCACTGTAACACAGCACATCAGGAACCACAGTCACACTCAGAACAACATCACAGGACACACTCTCATTGGTAGTTTACTGAAGAGAAAAGATATTATGAGAAATATGAAAATCATTGAGTTTATAGAAAGTAATGAAAGAGTCCACGATGTCCACATGGACTCTGCAGCTGGAAGGAACAGCGACGTATTGAACCTGTGGACCTGAAAAAGCTCAAGTTGAAGTATTAGAAGGGTTTGGTTGATGAGAAGAAGAGTGTCTTTGCTCTGTGCTCTTCTGTCTGTGGTCAGTCTGCTGCAGAGTGGAGATGGAAACTGTAGAGAAATGCAGAACTCTGAGGGGAACGATACTGTGACATATAGATTAGTAGAATATGAACGGCACCTTTGGGGGGAAAGTGTAAAAATACACGTGTGTCTGTTCAGGCAATTTGGCCGCCATTTTGTCTGAAATTGAATATATTGTGTGTGTGTGTGTGTGTGTGTGTGTGTGTGTGTATGTGTGTGTGTGTGTGTGTGTGTGTGTGTGTGTGAGGGCACATCTTACTATTTCACACACACACACACACACACACACACCTAAAAAACAAGGAAATGACCATGTTTGGTCAATTTGGTTTTGACAAAATGGCGGCACGGAAACGCACATTTTCACACCTCCCCCCTAACGTGACATTTATGTGCTGATTAGATCACACGTCACTGATAAGAAGTGTTTTAAGACTCGACTGGCTTTCAAAAGTCAACAAAAAATAAGAAATAGAATTTTCCAAAACAATATCTATTCGTCTAAAACCACAGAATGTGACTTTTCAGCATCCGGCAGTGAATCAATTATCTGTGACACGGATCAAAGCTGCAAAATGTCCTTCAAAGAGACACTGAACAACCAGGAAGAGAATAAAAATGACCACAAATACACAATAAAATGGTCCAAAAAGAAGAACAAACGTCGTCAGAGACTCGGAGTGAATAACAGCCTCTAAATGTGGTCTAATGCAAAGAAACGCTGCTGAACGATTAGAGGAAGTTCAACAGAGACAAATTATTCAGAGCATTTCTTCTTTGTTAATGTTCATTTAGTCATTATTTGTGTGTGATGACATCAGACCTGTGTGTGAAGTAAAAACACAGCTCCCTGTGTGTGTGTGAGGTGTGTAACGGCCTCACAATATAAATGTAGAAGTACAGTACCTTGTACAGAGAGAAGGAAGACGACTAATCCACCGGCTGATGGACTCATAGCTGCTCCTCTGTGTTCAATCAGCAGATCAGAAACTCTTTATTCAGTAAGTCACCAGAAACACGTCTACATTAAAGAGGAGGCTGATGTCTCTGAGGTCAGCTCGTCTCTTCTGGAGTTGGTAAGTCATGAGAGTTATCAAGTTCATCACCAGAGAGGCTTCCTTCCTGTGGTTGGACGATAAGAAGTGATGATGATGTTTAAAAAGGTCAAATGTATGTTTCATCATTATTTCTCTTACTGTTCATGTTTGTGCTTCATGTATAAAACGTTAATAAATAATTAACTATATGGTTTAAATCCACGTAGACGTGAACACGTTGATTCTGCGTCTCCCTGAACTCTGCGTTCACAGAAGACAACAATGCGTGTAAAATAAATATCAGAGCCAAGAGCAACGGGGTGCGTGTAGTCAACTACTGGTGCTACCACATTCCGCCGGACCAGGATAAGTCATTTATATTAATTAATGAACTTTCTCCTTT